AAGCACCAGAAGGCAGGACAAGAAGCAACGGAGGGAAACTAATCAAGGAGAGAAGCTACCTAGAATCAAGGAGAAATTGCCTGTCAGTGAGAACAATCAACCAGTGGAATGGCTTTTGCCTTCAGAAGTTGTGGACGCTCCATCACTGGAGGCTTTTAAGAAGAGACTGGACAGCCACTTGTCTGAAATGGAATAGGGTTTCCTGCTTGAGCGGGGGGTTGGACTAGAAGACCTCCAAGGTCCCTTCCAACTCTGATATTCTATGTTCTAAATTTTGTTCGCCACTGTCAAATGTCTTTGGAGCCATTTCTGTTTTTCAGAGGAAAATGGCAGTGGAATTTGGATGCATCAGGAACCATTTTGTTGTTCTTTTGAGTCCAGCTGAGTCCAAGCACAGAGTTTTTCCATGACTCTGGAGAATGAGCCAGGCCTTGAGTTGTTCAGTCTTTCCTTTCCACCTTTCCTCCAATTAATGCTGTTTTTCTTGACTGGCTTTCAGCAGGAACTGTTTCTTCCACCACAAAATCTGGCATTTCAGTAACCCTTTGAGTTTTTGAACCTTTCCTTCAGAACCAAGGCCGAATGCCAAGTCTCGGGAGTTTGGGAAACCTCAAAATGTTTTTTTGTTTCCTATCACCAAGAATGAATACTTTATTACATTTAGATCCCACAAACATCTATAGTAAGATTAATGTGCCAGCAGCATTCTGATAGTGTTTTGTTTTTAAATGCAAATATATATATTGCCACCCAAATGTCCAAATGCTCAGAATCACAACATCCAGGAAATACCTCTAAGATCATTCGATCTGGTATCAGTCGATGGGTGATTGCCAGAATCGAATATAAACCTGGAAGATGAGCTGGAAGGGTTACTTGCAAGAGCCTCAACCTTGTCAAAGAGGCAGCAATCTCATTTAAGGATGTAGGTTCCTGTCCCTTCTCAGGGCCTTCCAAGTAAGTTCATCTTTTGCCCTTGCTTTATTTACTGAGTGGCTCCTCTGAACCTGCCCATGTTTCCCTAAACCTTCTCAGTTCAGAAACTCCTCATATCTTATTCCTTGGTTTGATGATGATTAATTTAGGGCTGCTGTTTTCAGGCCAAGCCCTCATGCTCCTCCCAACTTAGTTTTTAAAGGAACTGTGTGGCAGGTGGCACAATTTGTTTGGACACAAGTACTTTAGTAGACCTGAGGTTGAAACCTCAAGGTTCAGGAGAACATGGTTTATCAACTCATCAGCCAATTTGATAATACAAGGAGACAAATTGCAGAAGAACAATTCACACAGGCACTTTTTCCCTGTGGCTGTTAATCTTGAGCATTCTCACAAGCATGCTTTTGAATGGTTAAAGTAGCCTAAACTCATTTGGGGTTTTGTTTTTTTTTGTTTTTTTTGGTCCAAACAAAATTCTTGGTCCAAGGTTTTGCCTGGGGGAGAAGAGGGCGTTATTTCTTCCCTCCTCCTTTTTTCTCCTTTGAAAACTAGAGTTACAACTCAAGTTAATCTTTAGCAAAACAACAGCAGTTTAGAGTTGGTTCCCTGGGCAAGTCTGTTTTTCCTGCCAGTGAAATTTGAGAATGAAAGGGGGGGGGAGTGGGAGAGAGAAAGTAGGCCTCTGTTTTTGAAATCCAGTGAGTCAAGCTGCTCTCTCAAGCAAAATGATGGTATCAGCTTGACTTCAAAGTTAATTGGACTTGATGGCATCAAGGTATAAGGTCAGAAGGGCGAAGTCTTGAGATATGTTGTTGGGAAGCTCTGAGCCAGGTTCAGGGTTTTCCCACAAACCAAGAATGCTTGGCTGATGTTCCACAAGACCTGGGGGGGGGGGAAGTCCAGCCAGAGATGGGGAAACTAGTCATGGCATGCAGACTGCAGATAGGAGCAAAGGGACAACCTTCTAATGCTCCATTTGCTTAGTTATTTAAAGATGGCATCTCTTAAACAACTTTGGGGCTGCTAGAAAGTATTTTCATGTGCCCTCCCTCCAAAAAAAAAGGCACAGAAGAAAGTGGGGTTCTGTCTCTGGGCTGTTCAGGTTTGAAGGGTTCCAGATAAAGGTGAAATGAAAAGGTCAACACATCTTAGATTCTGGTTTAAGCAAGAATTAAACAGCCAAGAGGAGACACGCTCTGTTTGACCTTGTTTTTTATTCATCAAAAAGTTAACACAGGATGAAGGGAATCTCTTTGGAAATTCAGATTCCAGCCAGGAACCTAGAAATTATCCAAATATCATTGTGAGAGATTACAGCCAGAAAGGTCTTATTGGTTTGTAAAAACCTTTACTCTTTGCAAAAATTTGTGTAATCTGTTATTCCACCTAATGTATCAATCACTACAGGGGTGACTTTTCCATAATCCATCCATTTCAATCTTTTTTTTAATCTTCAAATCTGCCATATCTGCAAAAAATGCTCTTTTCCTTCCAATTACGGCATTATTTGGTATATGATGTTCTAGATCCTAATCATTTTGTTTGCAAAAATTCCATAACCTCATTTTCAACAACTTTCTCAATTTTTGTTTGTCCTAAATTTGGAAAACCAACAATATTTTTTGTACAGATTCCAACGGATGACAGTGGCTGCTATGCCATTGTTTATAATTAGTCTGAGTAATGTTGTATTCACCCACTTTGTCAAGGTTCTGACAGACAAGACCAAACAAATCAGAACTCCAAGGCTTGAGATTTCCTCGGAGAACATGTTTATTGGTTATATAGTATTGGCATGGTCAAAAGTGAAACCCAGTCTGAAGTTTCCTTCAGAGAGCAACAATAAGCATACGGAGAACGGCTACGGGACTTGGGTTTGGCTAGTCTAAAGAAAAGAAGAAATAGGGGAGACATGATAGCAGTTTTCCAGTATCTGAGGGGCTGCCACAAGGCAGAGGGAACCAGTTGTTCACCAAAGCACCAGAGGGAAGGATGAGAAACAATGGTTGGAAACTGATCAAGGAGAGAAGTAACCTGGAATTAAGGAGAAACTTCCTGACAGTGAGGATAATCAACCAGTGGAACAGCTTATCCCCAGAAATCGTGGGTGCTCCATCACTGGAGGTTTTTAAGAAGAGACTGGATATTCACCTGTCTGAGATGGTATAGGCTCTCCTACTTGAGCAGGGGGCTGGACTAGAAGACCTCCAAGGTCCCTTCCAGCTCTATTCTATTCTAATATTACAAAGTTAAACTTCCTACCCCAGTGCCATGCAATTTGCTACGTTCCTTTGGCGGGCTTTCTAACTAAATGCTCCAGCCCCCGTCTAATTGACAGAAATGGCCTTGTTTCCTTCAGGACAGTAAAAAGTTTAGACTAGTAGAAATCCTCCATCCCCCTCCCAATCTTGTGGCAACTTAGATCAAAGAAAATGGCTGCAGCCAGGTTCGTTGTAGAGTTGGTTTCAATTTTTTTCATTGTTATTTCATTTCAATTATAGAACATAGTATAACAAAATACAAGTAATGCTCAACTTATGACCATCATTGAACCCAAAATTTTTGTTGCTAAGTGAGATGGTTGTTAAATGAATTTTGCCCCATTTTACGACCTTTCTTGCCACTGTTAAGTGAATCACTGAAGTTGTTAGTAACACTTGTTAAGTGAATCTGGCTTCCCCATTGACTTTACTTGACTTTACATTGACTCGCAAAAGGGGCTCACATGGCCCCAGGATACTGCAATGGTTGTATGAAAAACGGTCAGACTTTTTCAGTGCTGTTGTAACTTTGAATGGTCACTAAATGAACTGTTGTAAGTCAAGGACTTCCTGTAGAATATTTTGTCCCTCCCCCCCCCAACTTCGCTTCTGAAGGTAGTCTGTGGCGCGGAGTGAGTTCCTAGCCAAGAAGTTCAGGGCAGTGTCAGAAAAAGGGTGCTCAGGCCTGGGCGTTGCGGTTGGTGAGCAGCACAAAATTTCCACAGGCCCAGCCCGGGCCTGGCCAGCTGCTCCTGTCTCCTTCGCAAGGCCTCCAGGCTGCAGAAAACAGGGAGGCATTTTGTGGCACGATTTCCTTGCTCATCCACGAGGATCAGGACTTTATTTATTTATTCCTTTAGCTAGGGAATAAATGATCTGGGTGATGGAAAGGACAAAGGTGGCTGAGCATAGGGCTCAAATGCAAAAATCACAACTTAGCAGAAACAGTCCTGCAAAAAAGCTGGAGTGGAGTTGAAGGGAGAGAGGGGTTGCCTTGATGAAGAATTTATTTAGTCAGTGGTCATCTTTAGAATTCTCCACTGCTTCTTTCTTGTTGTTGGAAAAGAGCCTGCTAGGTTTTCTGGTTTACTTGCTTGGAAAGATGCTGTTTCATCAGGATTGAGATTCCCAGGCATAGAAACTTCCAGAGGCTTCCAGGCCAACCCTTTCCTCTGGGTTATTGCTCAGTCTATTTCTTGGAAGTTGTGGGTTCTGGAAGGAAAGGGCAAGCACTAATATCCCTTCCCTCCAAGCCTCCATACTTGACTGGTGGTCAGCAAGGTCCATCATGCAGCTAGGTAAATCCTGAATAAAGCTGAATAATGCTTTTGTATGCTGATATGTTCATGGACAGCTGTGGAAGGGGCCACTTGGCTAATGTCAGATCTGCCTCAGCTTGGGCTTCTAGGTAAAAATTATCCTTAACTTCATTTGTTGAGAAAGGTATAGTTTACTAGAAGTCAACTGAATTATAGCAGTGTAAGAGCAGAACTGAGAGTTGGTGCCAGATTTTTGCCAGTTAACTTTCCTCCCTTTGTCCCTTCCCATTTTCTGTCTCTCATTGCCCAAGAGATGTTTTGGAAACAGTCGCTATACCTGTTGGTATTCTTCTCCCAGGGAAACGACCTTGAAGTCTTCCTTCATTTTCCCTCAGGCCTTGCGCCCTCCCCTCCAACTTCCCCCGGGGTTCATGGCAGACTGGCAGTGAGGGGACCGTTCTGACAGCTAGGCCTTGAGCAACCATGTTGGTTCAAAACTTCTTTTCCTTTGGGCTGACCTGACCTGTCCTTCTTCTCTTTCCAGAGGCCAGCATGTCGCCTGATGCTGTGAAGCACAGTCACTGGTGCAGCGTCGCCTACTGGGAGCATCGGACACGCGTGGGCCGCCTCTACACAGTGTACGAACAGTCTGTCAGTATCTTTTATGACCTACCTCAAGGAAACGGCTTCTGCCTCGGACAGCTCAGCCTGCAGAACAGAAATGAAACAGTCCAGAGGACTCGGAACAAAATCGGATATGGGATTTTGCTCAGCAAAGAAGCAGATGGCGTGTGGGCTTACAACCGAAGTGAACACCCAATCTTTGTCAATTCCCCAACCCTAGACATCCCCAACTGTCGAACCTTAATCGTGCACAAAGTGATGCCTGGATATTCGATCAAGGCCTTTGACTACGAGAAGTCCTGTCTCTTGAAGCATGTCACTGACTTAGAGTATCCAGATGGGCCCTATGACCCGAATAGTGTCCGGATCAGCTTTGCAAAAGGCTGGGGGCCCTGCTACTCCAGGCAGTTTATCACCTCCTGTCCCTGCTGGCTAGAAATTTTGCTCAACACAAACAACAGATAGCTGTTGGATGCTGAGGAACGAAGCCCGAGGACCCCAAATATCATCTACCTAGATTTAATATAAAGTTTATATATATATATGTGTGTGTGTGCGTGTATGTATGTATGTATATGTGTATATATATGTATATATATGTATATATATATGTCTGTGTATATATATATATGTGTGTATATACACATATATATATGCATACGTATATGTATACGTATATATGTGTGTATGTATGTGTGTGTGTGTGTGTGTGTGTGTATATATATATATATATATATATATATATATATATGAAAATATATATAATACTTGTAACTATGGAGTCATTTTTACAGTGTCATTATTTATGTACGGTGCAATGTGTATATGGACAAAAAAATGGAAAATGCACTTTGGCTAAAAGTCTTTCAGTACTACAGGTTTTTTTTAAAAAAAAAAGGATGGAAAAAATATACAGCAAATATTGGAGTATTGCCAGGATTTTGGCTGTATAGTTTTTTTAATAGTAATATCCAGGCCAAAAGCTAGTACCAGTTGCTCATTGATAATAAACTATTTGCATTTATAAATGTCCCCATTGTCTGTTTTTTATTACTTTTTGAATAAAGAAAGAAAATTGGAAGAGGAACTATTTACAACTTCAAGAAAATATAGTTCTGGGGTTGGCTTGGAATGAAGTAAAAGGAATCTCCTCTATCTGTGTTTCCCTTAGAACAGAGGTCTCCAAAATTGGCAATTTTTAAGACTTGTAGACTTCAACTCTCAGAATTCTGCTTTAAAACTATCATTAGTCCTGACTGGCTGAGGAATTCTGGGAGTTGAAGTCCTCAAGTTGCCAAGTGTGGAGACCCCTGCTTTAGAAGGCCTTGCATTTCTCAAAATACACAGAATACACAGATATTCTGAGCAAAAGGCCCTATTCAAGCTTAGAATCATGTCAGATTTAAAACAAAAAAAATGCACATCCAACCTCTGTTTAAACATGTCCATCAGCAAGAAGTCTTCTCATCGCTTTGACTGATTGTTCTGGGCAACTGCGGTTCTTGTTAAGATTTTTCCTCCCTCTTTCCCAACTGGCATCAGAATCTGCCTTCTGGGAACTTGCGATGTCCACGGAGGCAATGATACAGGCTGAAAAAATCTAGACATCCACAGTGCAACCAGCGTGCTTAAAATGGCATAAGCCAAAGCCTTGTGTGGCTCAGATTGTGGGAGTTAAATGTTTTGTGAAATGTTTTCTACCTTGGAAGTTCCATCTTGGTTTTATGTGCCATCTTTTTTTAGAGCATGTTAGGAGCTCGGGGACAAAGCCACAAAGAATACTTTAATTGAGGATAAGAATGAAGAAGGTAGTGGTCATCAAATGCCCAGATGGAAGATGGAGCAGACTTGAAGTTCAGGATGGTATTTGTGAGGAAGCAGATGTTGGAAAACATCAGGAGACGCTTCCTAACTGTGGAAGTTGTTTAACAGTCAAAACAACAACTCCAGCAATTGTTTCTTTAATAATAGTTTGAAAGCAGAGTCTAGGGTTCAAATGTGTTGAGCCCCCATTCCCAATTAACATGGAGATTCTGGAAATTGTGGTCCCACTACAACTAGAAAGCACAGGTGAGGGAGGCTGATTAGATGGCCTCTAAGATCCCTCCATTACATGGGAAGGGTAATCCAACACATTTTGAGAGCACTAGGTTGAGCAAGGTTGGTTTAGGTTGGTAGAAGTCCCTAATGCTCAGGAGGCCCAGAAAGTCCACAGATGGCTGTCTTGGTGCCTGCCAGTTTCCCACCTGATTCAATTCTTTTAAACTTCATAATTAAAAGAAAAAATTCAGAGTAAAAATGGGCAAAGCCTTAGCAACTTACAGGAGAGGTGCTGTAAATACAGTGTATATCAGTACGCTACTGCTTTGAAAGTCACTGAATTTGGTGCTTGAGATGAAAATGTCCTGGTACTCATCGTTTGTTTGGTACTCAATGCATAATAGAATAGAATAGAACAGAACAGAACAGAATAACAGAGTTGGAAGGGACTTTGGAGGTCTTCTAGTCCAACTCCGTTTAGGCAGGAAACCCTATACCATTTCAGACAAATGGTTGTGCAGTCTCTTCTTAAAAATTTCCAGTGTTGAAGCATTCACAACTTCTGGAGGCAAGCTTTTCCACTGGTTAATTGTTCTGCCAGGAAATTTCTCCTTAGTTCCAGGTTGCTTCTCTCTTTGATGAGTTTCCATCTGTTGCTTCTTGTCCTGCCTTTGGGTGCTTTGGAGAATAGCTTGACTCCTCTTTTTTGTGGCAGCCCCTGAAATATTGGAACACTGCTGTCATGTCATATCAATTATAGCATAAGCTAGAATTTGTCAGTGTTGGCTCCCTCACTATTCTTTCTAACTGAAACAAAGGGTCTCGTGTTAGTCACATGGTTTGTTTGGTACTCGTCATTTTTAGTACTCAAGAACCAGTTAATGATGAGTACCAAGCCACCACTGTATTCTGCTAAACTGGCATTATGGGACTAACTACAGTCATTGTGAGGTCCTATGTGTGAATGCATTTCCTTGGCTTCCATTTCAGCGAGTGCCCTCTGAATGTGCCCTTTCTCTCAAAACGATGGACTCGGAAATGGGACTTCCCCTCTCCTAAGACAAAGGGGGAGGGTATCCAAGGTCTGTGATCAGACAAGTCAAGGAAACCACAGTGTGCAATCAAAGCTAGTGTGCATTGTGCACCAAAGCAGGTGGATTTGATTACACCATTGTGCCTTTTTGCTCACAACCTGTGGACATGTACCCCCCCAAGGTGGAGGTTTTCTGTATTGATGCTCCAGCATCTATTCATGGAAGGTGTTGACAAGAACCAAACTGCCTGGTTTGTAGCTGGCTCTATTATTTGCAGCTCGCCCTCCCTTCAAAAAAAGGTCCCTCCCCACTGCTTTGCATTCTGACTATGATGCTCTCCTCAGCTTCCCTTCTGTCTTTCCTCCCAGAATATTTGGGAAACCCCCTGCCAGGCAGGGGGGTGGCCTCAAGAACAGAGTTAACCCTCCTGACCTTCTTTAAGCTCCATAGAACCATATCTGTCTGTTCCCAGGTGGAGGCTGGCAGTCTGGGGAGAATCCTGCATGATAGGGCAGAATATGGTAAAGTAGTACGCTTAAGTTCTACACATATGGATATGGTTGCTTGTGCCTGGCGCAGGTCCTGGCTGCACATCTCGGGAGAACACACACACACACACACACACACACACACGGATGCTGCAGCATCTTCTCAAATCTCTTCTGAGGAATCCTGCCTCATCAGGGTTTTGCTCTCCCCTCCCCAAAAGCTGCCTCTGTCCTGAGATTGCTTTGAAAAATAAAATAAAATGAAACAAAAACATGGCCTTGCAGTTGTACTGAATTCCGTTAAATTAAAACAGCCCCTCTATTACACAATCAACCTCAACTATTTCATAGCTCCCATTTGGACAAATTACAAGCATTCTTAAGAGCTGTGCCTTTATGAACCCAAGATTTTTTTTTAACAATAATCAAATGCATCTTCAGCAATCTCTTTTTAGCGTGTGTGTTCCCTACAAATGCATGTGTTTTGTGATAATAAATGGAGACACAGGCGTCTTCCACTCGGCTGCTTGCCTAATGACCCCTCACTCGGGATGAAGGTAAATCGAGGCACTTCTGGTTTTTCCACATTCATCCAATAGGCTGATAGATTAACTAAAAAGAACATGTCTCCAATGATAGAGAGGTGGCAGCAGCAAAACCTTGCCTTTATATAAAACCAAGCTGGCTTCTCCCAGGATTCATGAACTGAAGTCTTTCTTGTTCCTTGTACTATTTAAATAATAAAACTGAATCCAGGGCATGGTGGAGGGAGATAAACAAGAGCCCAGCCTCAGCCAGGACATCACCAGGGTTTGCAGTGTGCTGTCCCCTCCCTTCTTCCTTTTACAAAGCTGTTTTATGATTTTAGGCAGACTTCCAACTAATCCCTGGCAAAGGAGACTGAACCAATTTGGATGTGTCGTCCTCACTGGGAGGGCTCCCACCACTCCCCGGAGGCCCACAGTTTGGATAGGGCAAGGGGAGATGTGCTCTGTGCCAGAGGTTCCTTTTGTGGCCGGGACAGGACTCCAACTCCTGCTCAGTCAGAAATCTACCGATCCTTTTTAGAGGACCATCAAGCTCCCTTTAAAAACTGAAGAAATCCACCTCTCTTCTAGGAAGACATTTCTGCTGATGCTTCTGCTCAGCCTCCATTCTTTTAAGCTCAGGTGTGTGGACCTTCTCTTGCTCTTGGGTTCAACAGGTCTTTCCTTTCTTACAGGTGACAGCTTATTTCAAATCCTGTAGGGAATTGGGAGATAATAATAATAATAATAATAATAATAATAATAATAATAATAATAATAATAATAATAATAATAATAACAACAACAACAACAACAACAACAACAATAACAACAACAACAACAACAGAGAAATCTCTAAATAAATGGAAGTGGCTTCAAAAAAAAACATTGCCATTGGGCTAGTGATGGTCACCAGTCTAGATGACTGAGGAGCTGGACGAGTCATGGGGGAAAAGTGGACTTAATCTTGAGTATTGCTTCCTGAATCACAAATAGCTTTCAAAAAAGCATCTGGAGGGTCACAAGGAGATCCAGAAGAGTAGACAGTGTCTTTGGGTTCTTCTTTCCAATGATTACTCCAGATCAGGGGTTTCCAGACTTTAAGACTTAAAGTCCCTTCCAATTCTGTTATTATGTTATTCAGAACTGGTTTCTTTTTTTAAAAAAAGTCTCTTCCATTAGGTAAGATGTATTTGTAAAATATGACATTAAAAAGTGAAGATGGTGAGGGAGTGGTTATGGAGGGGTAAGTTTATTACAGCCAAAATACATGGCTGTAGCAAGCAAGAAAAAAGTTTTACAGTTGACCGATTAGTACGTAGCATGCACTGTTCAAAATTGCATTTCAAAGAGGTGGGCTGGGAATCCTCTGTGCT